AATTTAATGATAATTTTTAAAATAAAATTATTTAATAAAAAAACTATTTTTTTAGAATATTAAATAATTTAAGAGTTAAAGTAATTTATAATAATATAATTTTGATGTTCAATATAATAAATTAATCCTTTTTTCTAAAGACATGATCTAATTAATATTTCAAGAAAATTTCATGTCCCATATCGATTGGAAATAAAATAATTAAAGAGTATATAAGTTTGGATAACACTTACCTTACAAGTTGATATGTATGGTTGAGTGTTAAACTTATAATTTACAATCGAAGAGTTTAAAAGGTTATGTTTCTCATGGTGGAGGTGTGGAAGCAAATTTCTCAATATTTCGGATGAAAGTTGAAGAATTATTAATAGAATTTGTATTAATTTATTTGATTTTTTCATAAAAATTTTTCTAGCAGAATTTCTTGAAAAAAATTTGTAAGAAAGTTTCCTGTGAAAAAACTTTTCAACGAATTTTTTTCGTAGGAAAGTTTCTTGCGAATTTTAAAATTCAAAAAATATATTATCTACGAAGATATTACCTAGAGATAAAATTTCATAGAAAAATTCGTAAGAATAATATTTCTTGCAAATTTTTATATAAAATTTACATGAAAAATCGCATGTAATAAGAGAAATTCTAGTAGTGTTAGTTGTTGTTCCAGGAAAAGCAATTGTGCAAAAATAATGTTTCAATCAAATAACAATGTTTCAATCAAATAAAAAGGTTTTGGTACCTTTGTACTATCACTACACCAAAATTTGTTATTAACGGTAATTATTTAATGACAATAATTTAATTGCTGTCATATATAAAAACATTAATGGCTAATATATAATAGTCACTAAAAGTGTATTTATATTACACTAAAATTTACTATTAGCGACAATTATTTATTAGAAAAAACTTAAGCTCTACATCGATTAGAGATAAGATAATTAAATAGTATATAAGTGAGTAATAACTATCACCTTACAGATTCATTTTATAGGGTTGACTCCTAATTCACTATTCTAAATTGGTATCAAATCATCTATTATTACCAAGTTCAATAGTGCTATAAAACAATTAGAGAGCAACTTTCACCTTATAAATCTCACATCTCTTAAGAGACAAGAAAATTAAAAAAATAAATTAAACAATATAAATAAAAGACAATCCTCATCTTACAAATCCCACACCAAGTAGAGATAAAAAAGTATATAAGTTATGAATTTAAAAAAGAAAATTATAGGAATAAATTGTTTAAAGTAAAGGAGACAATTGAAAAAAAAAACTTTTAATAGCCTTTAAAATGGTTACTAGAATTGCCACTAAAAAAAATAAGTTTTTTCGACAATTTAGTAGATCTTTACTAGCATTTTATATAAATGCCGGTAATAGTATTAGCAACACTGGATACACCAGCCATTATTTAAATGCTGGTAAAAAAAATAATAATCACTTATATGGTCGTTAAATAATAAATTAATTGCTACAAAAAAACTAATTTTGGTGTAGTGTATATAGTAATACAAGTTATTTTTTATGATAAAAGAATGTTCCAGTCAAATATATTTGCTTTTGAAAAAACGACGTAATTAGTTTGAACAAAATCTTACTTATCCTTCAAAAATAATTAATGATGTCCATAATCCTATGTCATCTGTTTTGAGTCAAAGTATATTAAACCCAAGTTTGCTATCAATTTTAATTATCATTAGAATGAATAAAGGATTGGTGAAAGAGTTGGATCAAACAGAACTTCCATAATTGTTTTGGTTGAACATTAACTATAATAGTGCAAATTTTAAATATATTATCCCGTGCCTTTGCAATTTATGAAGTATCAAAAAAGTTTTAGTCAGATAACTTTTTTTCCTTATATTCATTCACCCACGTATTTTTGAATGTAAAACATTTACAATAGTTAAAATACATGTGTATTAAACATAAATACTTTGGATCGGAATATAGGATTTTAATATATGTGAATTACGAGTTTTTATCACCTCTTGGTTTTAAGTAGAATTTATAAGTTTAACAACTTTGCCTGAAAATAATTTTAAAATGTGAGTTATATAAGTTTATATATTCTTTTTGTTTATCTTACTTTTAGTTGATATGTGACTTGATATGATGAACCCGTTTTGAATGCGTGTTTGATAATTCTGATATGAATGAGTCGACATTTGAGATCCATTTTATCATTGATGGAACGTGAAAATAGTGTTAAGATATGGTAAACAAAGGTAAGGGTTGGAGGCATTGTCACAGAAAAATTGACGATGAGTACGGATGATTTTTATGGATGTAGGTAAATCATAGTTGTAATCCATGATTTTCAACTTGCTTCACCTCCACGCTTAGGACCATCCACAAACTTCTAAAATTTTTTAAAATGCCGCAAAACTACCTACCCCATTTGATGGTTTTTGGTATTGTAGAACCTCCTTTGTCGATAGCACTGCGCGTAATGAACAATTATTTTTCCTGTTTCGTTGCGCATTGATGAGATAGGAGGAATAGTCAAATGGCTCATAAGACATCAAATTAACAAGCTAAACAGTATTAATTACGGAAAGGACTGTGGAGCAATTACGAAAACTTCTGAATACTATATTACAAATATGTAAAATATTTTCTGTTGCAACTTTACAACTTCCCATGCTACCATTATGTAAAATATTTCTGTTGTTGAAATGGAGAATGGATGGACAAAGATTGGTATTGTAAATCTAAACAGAGCTAGTGCATTTTTTTATCTGATAATTTAGGTGTATATTCTTCGAGATTCGCTCATGAATTAGTAAGGGCTAAAAATGTCATGGCAGATGCTTTGGCATTCCATGGTGTGGTCGCTTTGGTTACTCTGAAACTTCAAGAGTTTTAACAATAATGTTTATTTATGATTTCACTAATGTGATGACAGTTTATCCCTATTTATATATGGATCTATATTGAAGTTCATAATGGTAGTTTTTTTTTTAATCAACCAGAAAGAACTTTAGTACATAAGTACTCTGAAGAATTACATTAAACGACCTTGATATAAATGGTGGTTTGTGTTTTTTCCCCTCTAATATATAACTGGCGTATTTGTCCCCTTGAATGTTTGAAACAATGTTGTTAATTAGACCAGCGTCTAGTAGCTATTATTAGATGTATACATAGGTTGGAGTAACCTTATACTCAATAAATTTGTTGGTTTATATAAAAAAAAAAAAAAATTCTTATAAACTTCTTAATGGTGAATTGATAATTTTTTTTGGGAAGTTTTGGCTTTGGGATTTTTAATTTCGAAGGTTATGGCTCATCACAAATAATTATACATAGACTCCCAACAAAACTTAATTTAGTTAAGAGAAATGTCATTCTTATAATTAATACGGTATTTGTGATTTTGAGTTGAACACCTTAGTTGCATATTTGTTTCTCTTGTAATTGGACGAAAATATACTCTCTGGGTTGTTAATTAAATTGTTTCTCTAACAAATGCTATATCTCATTTTCTTTAACCTTAGAAATTGGTGAGAGGAAAGAAGATGAAAAAGGTGTAGATGGTTCCATAGTTTCTTTGAGAAGTTAGGTGATGAAAAAACATATTTTGGGAAAAAGTAAGAAATTAGGTTAATCAAGGGGTTGATATGAAAATAGAAGAGTTTACGGGCATTCACATGTGTGTGTACTTAACTCATAACTACTTAACTAGATCACGCACACTTTCATAAAGAATGCATGCATAATAGATCGATATTAACATAAAGCCACACACTTATCTAACTTTACTCCGTGGTACTACAGAAAGATGCATAATAGATCGAAATTAACATATAGATCGAGATTGGATTAGTTTCCTATAATGCGGTAGCATAGGCCCGTGACCACATGTACCCGACCCAATTTCACCACTCATCGGCCCCCAATTATAGCAACATGTTCCATCGTCAATATTGCTACAACTAAAACTTTCTCTTCACGTTCTCATTCATCCACGTCTACTTTTATACTTTCCTATACACATCCGTATACGATGCGCATCAACCTTTTCACATAAAAATAAAATAAAATAAAGCCGCATTTAATAACCAATTATAGAAAAGGTGTCATACCTGAAACTGTGATCTTAGCACTTAAAATTAGCTTCACGAAGATGCATTTTGATGGATGATTTGGAGTGGCTCCATGTTATAATGGCAGGTAATAGAATTCCAGCGAATGTCACCTTTTAACACTTGGGTTCCTTATGTATTATTTGGCCGTATGCATACACACACACCATGTGCCATGGAGAGAGAAAACATGAAGAAAGCAGTCCAGCGAGTTCACAAGTCAAGCACAAACATTTATTGAAGGGTGACTGTTAGAGGGAAAGATTTAGGTGAAGATGTTTAATTGTTGTACTAGAGCTTTTTAGTTAGCCGACAGTGTGCCTTCTTTAGGTTGAAAAACTTGCTTCCCTCACTGCCCCACTTTTTCTCCCTCTATATCTATTGCTACTCTGTTCCCTTCTGTACTTGTCCATCTCTCCAAAATCTCTTGCACCATCCCTGAACCCCAACAAACCATCATGGTGCAATCAAAGAAGTTCAGAGGTGTCAGGCAGCGCCATTGGGGTTCATGGGTATCTGAAATTCGCCACCCTCTTCTGTAAGTTTATTCCACTTCTATCCCACCAATTCTTATCACCATGTTTTTTTTATAAAAAAAATTCTTTCTCCACAGTTTAACATCAACATTTTTGGGTTAGGGAAACTCCAATGTGACCAATAACCAACTATGGTCACATATTTTTCATCATAACAAGATGGATTGTTACCACATTTTTTTCTCAATTCCAAAATGCAAAATGAAAATCAACCGTTGCATGAGGTAACAAATTAGAGATATTATTTTGTTTGTGGAACAGGAAGAGAAGGGTGTGGCTAGGGACATTTGAAACAGCAGAAGAAGCGGCTAGGGCGTATGATCAAGCTGCGATTTTGATGAGTGGGAGAAATGCGAAAACGAATTTCCCAATAACACAAACTCCGGAAGGTGACCCGAAGAGCACAACCAGTGAGGAGAGCCCCTCAACCTCGAAGGATTTGGAGGAAATCCTGCATGCAAAGCTTCGAAAATGTGGCAAGGTACCCTCGCCTTCGATGACCTGTTTGAGGCTGGACACAGAGAACTCCCACATCGGAGTGTGGCAAAAGCGCGCTGGGAGGCGTTCTGATTCAAATTGGGTCATGACGGTTCAGCTGGGAAAGAAGAGTGCCAATAACGAGAATGAGACTCTTCGAGCTGATACTAGTTCTTTCCCTTGTTCTGATCTTCACCATGAGTCTCCATCAGTGACGGGCCATAAGGAAGTGGTGGCAACAGAGATTGATGAAGAAGAGAGAATTGCCCTTCAGATGATAGAGGAACTCCTCAACGACAGGAACTGCCCCAGCCCTAGCCATAGCCCCAGCCCAAGCCCAAGCCCAAGCCCATCATTTAACAACAACATTCAACCAAGGGATGATGATCGTGACACTGACACCTTTTTTCTTTAAGCCTCTCTTTCCACAGCGTTATGGTATTCACATGCATGTTTAATCTTCATCTTCATCAAAGCTCATTATTTCGGGAAAAAGGAACTTCTAGTTATAGGCTACATATAATCACATCATATGACTCATAAATACCTATCGTATCATATCTATTTTCATGTATCTCATATTTATTATAAGTGTAGATAATATATATATATACATGCATGCATAGCCCAATTTAGAAGACTAGGAGGTTTGAAGAAATTAATTAAACTACACATAAGAAAATAAGAGAGATGTATACAGAATATTTTCAGTTCATATATAAAGTGCACTACCATATTATCTGCTTTGTTTGAAACGTTTGTGGTTTATTTACCATAAATAATAAATATATTTGCAGTTCCCTTTATCTTAAACGCTGGATTATCATTCTGATCATTTTTAGTGGCTCAGTTATCTTGTTTGGTTCTTTTGGGTGGCTATCTCCCATACAATAATATTGAAATAAGATACCGCTGCCATAAAATACAATGCTAATTAATTAAATGGTAAAATTATATTGATTATATATTAACGGATATTACATTTGTATTCCTATTGTCCAAGGCCTCATTATTAAAGTCGCTAAACAATTAGCCGTAGGCCTCGCATTTTCCCCCCTTTCAAGTTATACTAGTTACATTTATATGATTTTTAAAATTTAAACATTTTCAATATATACACAAAATTGATACTCTTTTTTTTTCATTTTTTTTTAAATTTGTCATTTAATTTTGGTTTCATTCTGAATTAATTTCTTAAACAGTACAATTAATTAACACAATCGCTGTTTTTAGAGATTACTTCTGCTAACACAGACAAATTGTTCTTGGATGGTTCCTGCCTGCTCCTAATGATTTATGCAATGAATGATCTAAAATTATAAAATTAGAGTTTAATTAAAATATATTGATATATAAAGTTTTTTTTTATATCGTTAACCATTTTAAAATTGTCATATCATTGAATTTTTTTATAAAAAAAATATTTGAAATTAATATATATATATATATATATATATATATAGAAAGTTATTAAAATTAAACTTGTTAAATTAATAAATATTTTTAAAAACATATTTTTGGTAATAGTATCACTAAGAGATTATTCTTTTTTTTTTTTTACAGCGCTAAGAGATTATTCTTACTTGGGATGTGTTTAACAATCAGCTTAAACTGTTAAAAAAAATTAGCTTAATTATAAACTAACCAAAGATTTACAAGTTTAAAACTTGAACTGTTGAAAACTTTATTGAATTCAATATATTTAGTGAGATTAAACAATAAGTTAGCTAGTAAATATAAAAAGTGACATTTTTATTTATTTAGTTATATATATAATTATCATTTTCAATACTTGAATTTATTTTTCATATCTTATCGTTTAAAAAAATAGAACAATAAATTTTTAAATTTTATATTATAAAAAATATTGTAGATTTGATGATTTTATTTAACTTTCTTCGATCTAAAATGGAAAGATAAAACAGATTTCAATAAAATCAGTCGAGACAAAAACCAATAGTTTATAAATTATAAACTAGTTAAAATAAATTTTGAAATAAAGTTAAAAAATTATTAAGATGAAATTACATAATAAAAAAATTACTGAGCTAAATATATTTTTAGTTTTTCTTTTTTTTTCTTCAAATTTTATTTTTAATTTCTAAACAAAAATTGACTAGACTCGGTCTCTATACTTTTATTCTATCAATATTTTTTGTTCATTGTTGTTAAGTGTGATGATTGAGGTAGTCATGGAACAACTGTGTCATTAATATGATTGACGTAATAATCATACTTATTTTTTTTTATAAATTGTTTTAATCTCTCGTCTTTTCACAAAATTCATTTTTAGTTTCTCAATAATATTTTGATTGGTCTTAGTTCATCATCTTTTTGTGAAATTTATTTTTAGTCACTTGAGGATTTTTTTGATTAGTCTTAACTCATCATCTTTTTGCGAAATTCAATTTTAATCTCTCAATATTTTTTTTATTAGTTTTAGTTCTTCAACTATTGTTCATCATTATGTGTGTAATACTATAAGTCTTAGAGTATTGTTGTATAGAGTGTCGTTTTGTGTTGAAAAACTTTGAAATATGAGAATTTCTTATGAGTTTAAGTAGCATTGAAGGTTTCTCTAGTTAGAGATCCAATTAGATCCTAAGGAGAGGGTTATATAAGGTTTTTGTTTAGAATAGAATCTCATAAATTTCGTTATAAGAAATCTTAGAGAGAGAGAGAACCTAAAGAGAGAAGCTTTGAGTTCTAACTTCTTCTTCTTCTAAGCTCTCCAGACCCAAGAGATTAGTGTAGAGTGTTGGTTTACATCCTCAGAGTCGAGTCCTTGTATTGTTGAAGAGTCAGAGTGTTGTAGGAGATCTCCTAATTGAAATGTGTGAAGATGCATGTAGTTGTTGTGTTTTGCATATGATGTGTTGCTTAAACTGTGTTGTTCATATGTAATATTGATCTATAATGAAACATGTTGATGTGTTAAATTATGAGATGATGTGTGTTACTTGTGTTGACCCTGAGTTGTTATATACTGAGTTGCTTGTGTTGATAAAGCTAAATGTTGTTGGAGTAGTTGATGTTAATAAATACGATATGTGATGATGAATAATATATGTTGCTTATTCTTTTGTTGTCAATGTTGTTTTCTTTTATTAACTCTAACTTACTCTTATATGTTTCCATGTGATTTAGATTGTGATGATCATACGTAGTATGAGAGTAGAGTAGGAATAGGTTTGAGGAACTATATCAAGGTGGCCATCAAGTGGATGGTGGAGTCGTCCATATTTCAGTGTTATTGTTGCATAGTATATTGTATAGTTGTGCCTGATCGACACTTAGGAATATTTTGATCATATGGATTACTATACAATTATATATACACATATGTATCCTATTGTTAGTAGATGTAATTATGTGTTTATAATAATTGTTATGGGTTCATTTGATGCATGATGATATCCTTAAGTCCTTTGTTGATTATTTGTATTTTCCATTGCTTTTAGTATAAAGCTTTTAGTGTAGGGACCATGGTGGGTCATTACACTTGCATGATATCAAAGCCGATCAAGTCTTTTGGGTACTTTGTGGGGGTGATCTCATTAGGTTTATGTTGTGTAGTCACTTTGTTATATGTTGAGTAGTTATTGAGTGGTTGATGAATAGTTGTTGTGTAGTGTTACTAAATGGTTTGTTGACCTCTGTAAAAGTTGTCTAAATCAAATGAGTAGATAGCTCGTGCCATGAAGATAATGGTCATGGCTATGGAATAGTAGAATGCCTACTTTGCTCAAGTGAAGGCATAGAGAGTTGTAACTAAGACAGTAAGATTGGTTGGGTCTCAAGAGAGTTGAGACTTGGCAAAGTTTTGAAAGTGCCACCCTCCATAGTTTAAGTGTGAATGAACAATGAAGTGTCACTAAGTGAAGTTTCATAGAATGCAACCTTTGAAACATCAAATCTAATGGACATTACAAATTTTACATTTTGGATTTTGGTTCAATGAGTTGCTAATTTGTATATTGAAGGTTGTTGATTTTACTAACCATGTATTTTTTTTTTCTTTTCAAAATTGTCTAGTGGTGATAACCCATTTTTTTTCTAGAAAAGTTATAACACCTTAGAACACTTAAAAGATGTCACAAACAAATAACAATTTACCATGTGTTTATTACTTTAAACTAGTATTCCATATAGCAAGTCACGTTATTGTTAATGTAGTTGTCACATCATCACTTAACAAGAATACTTGATCGGGCTTGTAACACCCTTCAGATTTGACATCTTAGTGATTCCACTTCATGACACTTCACACGATGACATTTCACACAACTCCTTGTTGGTTAAAACTCTTTGTCGATCATAACCCTCTATGGATAACTCTTTTTGAGATGTCTATCTACTTTGAGGATCAATGACTAACTCCACAAACCAACACAAAACTTTTCAGTGTGTTTTGTCCTCGCTCGCATGTTTTTTGGAAAACTTCCCAGAAGGTTACTCATCCCTAAATTGTTCAAAGCCCAACATGCTTAACTATAAAGTTCTTTTGTGATAAGCTACTAAAAGGTAAATGTATCTTATTGATAAAAGTAGTACAAATTAATTCTTTTAAGTCATTTTCAACTATACAATCTCACACTTGTACAAATCTCTGGATCTCTCTCATTCCAGTGTGTTTGAACTATTACAAGCCCACAAGTTTCTGTCTGGTTCATGTTCATCTTCAAATCACACAGTACTAGGAGAGATAACCAGGCTCTGATACCATTTGTAATATCCCTTAGTTCAACGTCTTAACAACTCCACCCTCCATGACATTTCACACGACAACACTTCACCTAACTTCTTATTGGTCAAAACCCTTCACTAGTCATAACCCTCCATGGGTAGTCCTTTCTAAGATGTCCGTCTACCTTTAGGATCAACGATTAATTCTACAAACCAACACAAGACTTTTTAGCATGTTTTGTCCTTACTCACAAATTTTTTGGGAAACTTCCCAAAATGTCACCCATTCATAAATTGTTTAAAGTCAAGCACGTTTAACTATGAAATTCTTTTGTGAGGAGCTATAAAAAAAGTAAATACATCTTATTAGTATAGGTAATACAATTAATTCATTTAATTCATCATCAATCATACAATTTCACATTTGTACAAATCTTTGGACCCTTCACATTCTAGTGTGTTTAGGTTGTTACAAAGCTAAAAACAATGATAAATATTAATTGAGAAACTAAAAATACACAAATTATTGTATGACCAAAAGTGAAAATTTCATTAAAAAAATATGGAATAAGATCGGTCAAGAATTGTTGAAGTATTAAAAGTGATTTTTTTTTTAAATATGATAAACTAAAAATATAATTTACAAAAAAAAATTAATGAGATTTTGAGGCAAGCGCACTAAGTCACTATAGTATATATAAGGTGTATGAGTTGTTGAACCTTAAGGACTTAGAAGATACTTATATTTTTTTTCTATCCTAGCTAAAGCTTGAAATAGAAAGGTATGCAGATATTATAAACATGATATTGTGCATATTTCAATATTGAAATTATAAAAAGATAACAAACAAAGGAGTAGTAAAATTGAAAGATAACAATATGCAAAGTTGTTAAGATTAAGTTTCACCAATCTCACCTTTATGTTTTCCTAAGACCACATACATATGATTTTTATATTCCAATGTTATTGAGTTCATTAATATCATTCCAAATCAATTTCTTGCATTTAGAAATTCTAAAGAATTTAACTCAATAAATAATTTCTTTGTTTAT